TGTGCTCATTATACACAAATGAACATGGAGAAAAGAAATACAAGTTGCCCAATGTGTAATGTTGGGTTATGCAAAGAATGCTTCACCCTGTACCATATGATGCAAAATCTATTTCATATAATAAAGTTTCCCATAATAATAGGTGTGTTTAAGTAAGTCGATCACTGCACGTGGGACATATGTATCCCACCATTAACTATAACCGGGACATATGTGCCCAACCTTTTGCTTGAAAACCATTTGTCAAAAAAATTCCAAATGCTAAATTTACATTATTTTATGATTATTTCCTTCACTTAGATAGGAAATTTAAAAATTTTTTTCTTAATTCATAGTGAAAGGGTTAAAAGCATTGACCCTTCCACTGTGCAAAATTGAAAAATTGCAATGAGAAATGGTACACACAGCAATATTAAATTTCCTTGACAAAATAATAGAAGAAAAGTCCTCTGTGAACGATTTTTTAAAAGAATATGAGTACAGGTAGCTCTTCTACAACACAGCATCCTGTAACATGGTTTCACTATAACATGCTTCATAAAATGTGAAAACCCTCCTACAACACGGTTTTCATATAACATGGTTTCGCTCTAACACGATAAGAAAAATTGCCCAAGCAATCTGAAAGAACTTCGTACAAAGTTTTTCCATATTGTGCAAAGCAGCCATGTAGTTATTTAGCACATAAGAATCTTTGTTCGCTAAGTTCTGCCAGTTGTCTTTAAGATCCAATAGCCGTAAGAAATGTCCTCAGATGAACAAATATCCCCAGATAATAATGAAGAAGTGGAAGAATCACAGAAGGTGGTCATGAGGTCACAATAAGTCTGCTCTAAAACGCGCAATCTGCCCATTCGGCTTCCAAAATTCGAATCCTCGTCTCCATGTCCGTAACAAAAGTGTCTCACGCTGCTGGTTGGCAGTCTGCATCGAGCCACGGTGTCTTAAAGAATAAAAAGAAGAAAAGAAACTGTTAAAGAATCTTTTTCATCTTTAAGACATTAAGTTACAGTCCCCAAACATGTCTGATAAAGATAAAAAAACAATGTTTAAGAGGATATTCATTTCTTTAGAAGTGCAGATCCAAATCTTAGAGAAAAGGTATCTTACATTGGAAAAAGTTTTAAATGGAATGAAGAAACAGTCCCGATCATTAAGAAAAATTAAAAAGAAATAAGAAGTACAGTTGCTTCAGGATCTTCGACATTCGCAAAACGTGCAGTTCACCCTCAGGGGATGCCAGTAATTGAGAAGATGGTGAAGGCACTCAGCAGATAGCTGTCCAAAAAGAATTTTGTTGGGTAGTAATATCATTAAACAAAAAGCCCTAAAATTTTCAAGCATCTCAAAGAACATGAGAATTTCCTTGTGCGGAAATGTGTACGAACCCTCTGTCACAGGGTTCGTATACATTTCCGCACAAGGAAATTAAGTACTTTTAAGGACTTTTAAGGACCATAATGAAAAATTAGGACCTAGAGCAAATGGGAACTGAATAAATTCAATAAAAATATTTATCTGCCTGAACACGAGTAGATATTATAAACATATTAACATATATTAATTTTTAAAATAAAATTATTTTATGAAATTTATCAAGTATTAAATATTTCACTCATAATAACTGGACATATTGAAGAAGATAAGTGAATTTAGTTACTTTTACTAACAGTTTGCTTTTTTTTTATGCCCCATTTTGACACATACTGCTCAGTCTAGAGTTTAGTAATGTATAGATTTATGTCAAGCAGCATAGGTTAAATGAGCATTAGATCATATCAGCATATTCATACAAAGACTGGCTGTGTCACCGCTCTGCTTACCTATAGAAGACCTGCGAGAGCAAACTGAAGGCCTGATTAGGCACAGTTAGCAGTTTGAAAGTTAGCTTGACTCTGCGATGCTGTTAGTTGTAACTTCGGTAGAGTTCTGAGTTGTAACTCAGTTAAGACTTTAAGGTTCTATTAGCCTAAAGCATTAGTGGTGATAAGTGTTTGCATTAAGTCTCACTAGATGAAGAATAGTTCACATGAATTTTATATTTTTGTTTTACCTTGTGACCGGTAAGGTTTAAACCGTTGAGCCCAAGGCCGAATTTGCTGTCTTTCTATTCAGCTGCAGCGATCAGCCGCGGCAAGTGCGACAAGTGGTGAAATATTGCCGATTAAATATCATAAATTATACAAAAGGAAGGATAACGCACATAAAGTCGAAGATTGTTCGAAATGTTATGATGACAATCAAACTATTTGGATGCAAGATAGCAAAAATGTTACCAAAATAGCATTTCGTATTGTAATATGTGTAAAGCTAGCCGTATTTTTGTAGAATGTTTCAATAAATTCATTAAAACTACATTTGATACATTTCATTGAGACTATCTTATTTTTTTTAACTTTAATACTGTCGATCCCGTGGACCAACGCCAGCCAAACGAAAATTCCAGTGGCCGGTCCCAGGGACCGACGCCGGGCTCAGCATTACGAAAGGCCATAACTTGCTTTAATATAAAGAGATAATTTTTAAGAGAATACATTTAGTTATAATTAAAATAGGTATTAGATAACCTTAGTCATTATGGATTTACATGCCACTATTAAATTAAATTGTTTTTAATAATATTAGTTAAAAAACCCTATTAATATCACAATCTATAAAATTTCAAGTTTAAAATACGCAATTTATGCCATTGATTTAAACAATATTAGGATAATTACACATTAAAAGCTACAAAACATAAAACTCAACAAATAATTATGCCTCTTTTTAATTAAGAGCCTACCCAGACATTTTGGCTAATATCGATTCCTTCTGCTTAAGTATATTTTCTACCATTAGAATTGTTTCAATATGCAAAACAAGTTTCATTAGCTTCTGCGGTTTTATCCTCCTAACTGCCAACCTCTGAGGTTTACTTGATCTGGTAAAAGTTAAATAGACCGCCCCCCCCGACAGACATGATCAAATTATCATTATGTCTGAAAGTAACTAAAATCAGATAATAAATTGAAATAAAGGTTAAATAAGCTTCTTATTCAAAAAAGAACTTAAAAAATATAGGGCTGATCTTATGATAACAAAATCAATTAAGTTTGTGGTGATATAATTAAAAAATCAAATTCAAACTAAAAATGGTCTAGGTCAAGACGATACAATTTAATTCAAATCTGGTTCATAACTATTGTCATAATAAACTCAAATGTCAGCAGCAGTAATGGAAGGACTAATAATTAAAATTATCAGAGCTGACAGAACTAATGCAGGGAGCAAGTGGGGTCAGAACACACTCATCTTACACTCCAAAAACGTCAGTTTAAAAACTCTTGTGAATGTGATTGCATTCTGATAAGGAAAGTAATGGGAAATTATAGTAAGGCTGAAACGTAACTAAGGGTAATTTTAAATATAATAATGTCCTTTTGAAGAAAATTTTCTTTCTCTTACATATTTAGTTTCTTTTTTCAACACGTTTCCTTTTCACTTTAAATTTTTGGCATTTAATTAAAAGACTTCTGTTATTTAAAAGATCTAAGCATTTGAGTTATGGAAAAAGCTGCTTAATTCTTTCTTTAGTAATACGAACATTCAGAAGAAAATGAAATTTGGTAAAGTTGGTCAAGACTGGGTGGCAATTTTTTAGAATTTAGTGACACACCGACCAATAAAATCAAGAAACGGCAAAATTTTAGAATTTAACAGGCATTGGAAGCAGAATTTAGGAGGCACAAAGCAGCAGAATTAGGATTCCACAGAGCTGCGTCAGGTGGCACAAAAGCCTAGCGCCAGATCTATGTTATGATGTGCATTAAGACAATTAGATGAATCTTTTGAATTGTCAGTTTTCTTATAATAAAAAAATTCCTTTTCCATATGATAATATTAGAAGTACTTTTGATATTTTCTGCCTGTATCTAGTGAAAAGTGAGAAATAAGGGGAAAGATAAAATGTTAAAAAGTGGTTCTAAATCAGAAAAAAAATTCAACTATTATGTTTTCATTTTCTCCCAGCTGTTCTCCAAAATGTAAGAAACTGCGTGTTACTACCATGGAGACATTTTTAATTTTATCACATTTTCTGGAATCTTTTGAATCGTGGGTCTATAAATTTGGCCAAAATCTTTTAAACTTCCAAGCTACTGTCTAAAACCTAAAGAAAAATTACCCAACAATTCTGGAACAACAAAAAGCCAGAAGTTTTTAAAAAAAATCGGAGGAAAAAAGTTGAAATTTAGTTTTATAGAGAAAACTGATGCATTTTCTGAGAATTCTGATCATTTGAGAAATGGGAAAATCTTACCATGAAAAAGACATTTTAATTAATTACATAGTTATTTGCTTTTCCTGAAAACTGTTTTGTTAAACTGTGCTTTATGCATTATTCCTTGTTATTTTTCAGATTCAAAAAATTTTATAATAGTGGCCAAAATGGAACTTTATAATATGACAGTGAAAATAAAAATGCTTTATTTTATGTTATTTCTTAATATATTTCCAATATTACATTATTTAATGAAATTTATCAATGTTAGAAGTTCTAAAAAAATCGTCAAAAATTCCCAGATCTCGGAATAAAAATTTTCTATATAAACCGATCTTAAAAATTGCCAAAATATGATAATCGCCAAATTTGAACGTTTAATAAAAGAATTCACATCCCCAAAAGCGGAAAGTTGTTTGAGAGTTCTTCATTACAAAAAATGAAATAATTTTGAAAATGCTTATGTTTCACTTCTTGCTCAGAAACTCGAGTATTCCACCATTATTTATATTACAAATAGGAACAAATTATAACTAATGAACCCATTCAAAAAATAGCCATATTTGTCTGTGAATCGCCAAAAATATTCCTGAAAAACGCTAATTCACACCCAAAATGGCAGTCGTAAAAACAGACAGAAATTTCAGATGATTAAAATTAAGGACCTTCTGCCAATTTTGGCCAAAATTAAGGACTTTTAAGGACCAAAAAACTTAAGGACTTTTAAGGACTCTTAAGGACCGCACATGCCCCGTGTTGGTAAGTAAAGGTTGGTTAGAAAATTTCAAAAAGTGTTTTGCAATTCACAGCATAAAAATTCAAGGAGAAGCTACGTCAGCTGATTATGAAGCTGCTAGGACTTTTCCTGAAAAATGTCAAAATATTATAGAACAAGAATACACAGCAGTTAAAGTTTTCAATGCCGACAAAACTGGGCTTTGGTGGAACAAAAATGCCCAGTAGAACCTTATATCGAAAAAAGAAAAAAACTGCATCCTTATTTAAGGTGTCTAAAAATTGTCTAATGTTATTTTTGTACAGTATGACTTCGGACTTTATGACAAAACTCTTGTTAGTTTATAAATCTTTAAATCCTTGTGCAGTTCAAGACATAAATAAAAACACTTTACCGGTATATTGAAAAGCAAATCTAAGAGCTTGGGTAGCTGGGAATATATTTAAAGATTGATTTTTAAATTGTTTTGTACCAGATGCTAAGCGTTATTTAAGGCAAAAAGATTTGAGCCTCAAAGCACTTACTACTATTAGATATTGCTCCATGTCACCCACAAGATTTGAATCATCCCAATGTCAAAATACTGTTCCTACTACCTAACACTACTTCATTACTCCAACCATTGGATCAAGGTATTATTTATACCTTTAAAACATATTACATAAGAAGAGCATTACAGTAGATTTTAGACGTAACTGTTTCAAAATCGATTAATGTAATGGAAGCTTGGAACACATTTTCAATCAAGAACTGAATCAACATCGTATCTTTGTTGCTGAAAGTACTCAAAAGCATCAACGTTAAATGCATGTTAGAAGGAGATATGGCCCTCTTCAGTTGAAATAGAAAATGTACATGAATTGTCAGAAAAATGAAATTGGTGTCATATTAGAACTTGCTAAATCAATCGGAGGCAAATGTTTTATGAACATGGCTATTGAGGATGTTC